TGGCTCAAAATTTCGCGCCCGATCGCGCTCTCCCACGACTTTGAATGCTTCTGCATCTTTGTCTTTGGATTGAAATTGAATGCGCTGTGAAATGAAATCGGATTATTCATTCAAAGCATGTATACGAGCGTAAAGAAATCATTTGCCGGCGAATTGACGAAAAAAATTGGTGACTGTAACCGTGAATGTATCGATTCGCGCGACATAGTATTTTTGGTCGTGCTCTCGCACAGCTGATATGATGTGTAAACGACATACACACAACGCATTTACAATGGAATCATACAGAACCAGTTGCGACGGCGGTGATTGAAAAAAAAACAAATTCGCTCAATGTAAAACAACGCTTCGTCCGATGCATATTTATTATGAAACCAGCTTCGATTAATATTTTGTCTAATCCACGTGGTAATACTTGGCCTACTATTTTTCGCAGTTTTCCCGTAAAAGGATCTTTGTTCGACATGTTTCAGCGTTGAATTGACAGCTGACACTGGCATTCGTGTAGATTCATGCATTCGCAACGCTCCCATATAAAATGTATGTGAACATTCGCGCCGCATTCGCAGCGCATTCGCGTGATACTCGCATTCGAATGTTTACGAATGCCACTGCGAATGCTTCCATACATTTTATATGGGAGCGTTGCGAATGCTTGCTTTAAAATACGAATAAAGTCATTTTTTTCCGAAACGTAGAACGTTTTCGAATACTCATTAGCCCCTAGTGATCTTCATAAACATTCGATGACTCACAAAAAAGAACTGCCGAATGTTTGTTCGAAATGTGGTGAAAGATTCGCCACTCCAAAAGATAAGCAAACGCATGAATCGGATTGTCAACGTAAATCGATCAGATGCGCAATTTGCAGCAAACAATTCGTCAAACAGATGAAACTAAATCGTCATTTGTCATCAGCACACAGCGACCAATTTCCATTCCAATGCTCCAAGTGCTTCGGAGGATACGCAACCGAAGAAGCAAAAGAAATTCATGAAGATAGCTGTGGCTACCGTCAGTATCAATGCCATTTGTGCAAAGAGTATTGTCGAGACAAAGATGCTCTGAAGTATCACATGCGAAAAGATCACACCGGAGAGCGGATTCAATGCAAGGTGTGTGCAGCAAGCTTTGCCACCAAAGGAAATGCCAATCAACACATGAAAACAGTTAACCGCTTGAAGAAGTGATAAATCAAGTATCCCATAGATTTACGACGGGCAAAGAAAAGGACTCAACACCATGTGGCCGATCGAGTGGAACTGCTGCCAGCGAAGAGCCTATGGGTGACGCAATCGATGTGCAACTACCGCTTCCAGTCGATAGTGGGAAGAATCGGAATGGAAGCTCCAAAAGACGAAACAAACGAACGATTCCCAGGAATAAAGCGGCCAAAAAGCAAAAGAAGCACAAATGCTATGTGTGCAATCATTTGGCAAGTTGCAAGTCTAACCTCAAAATACACTTGCGAATCCACACTGGAGAAAAGTCGTTTCAGTGTGATGTTTGTTTGAAGTCCTTTGCACAAAAAAGTGATCTGAACCGTCATAAGAAAACGCATGGCCAATTTCGTTGTTCAAAATGTAATCAAGGATTTGAACAAGTATCAGTCAAGATCGATCATGAAAGACTATGCGATCCCCAGCAATTCGAATGCGATATTTGCGGATATAGAACAATCAACAAACCACATTTGATAAGACATATGCGGGTTCACACCGGGGAAAAGCCGTTCGGGTGCTCAATTTGTTCCAAATCGTTTACAAGCAATGCTCATCTCCGGAATCATTCAATGGCGCACAAAGATGAACTGCCGAATGATTGTTCGAAATGTGGTCGACGATTCGCCACTCCAGAAGATAAGCAAACGCATGAATTGCGTTGTCAACGTAAATCGATCAGATGCGCAATTTGCAGCAAACAATTCGTCCAACAGTTCAAACTGAATCAGCATTTGTCAACAACGCACAGCGATCAATTCCCGTTTCAATGCTCCAAATGCTTCGGAGGATATGCAACCGAAGATGCAAAAGAGGTTCATGAAGATAGCTGTGGCTGGCGTCAGTATCAATGCCATTTGTGCAAAGAGCATTCTCGTTCCAAACAGGAGTTGAAGCTTCACATGCGAAAAGATCACACCGGAGAACGGATTCAATGCAAAGTGTGTGCAGCAAGCTTTACTCGTAAAAGTCATGCCAATCAACACATGAAAACAGTTCACCGTTTGAAGAAGAAATAAGTCACGCATCCCATAGATTCATTAAAACGTAGTTAAGATTGAAATCTATTCCAACAGCAATAACAGCATTAACAAATTCAGACAGACTTCCATTCTAAGATTTTTTTGATATTTTTTAACATAAAAACACATTAATACCACTTTAGATTTGAACTCCGTTTTTGAATGGAACAAACCGGAAAAAATTTGAATAAATATAAAAAAGACGAAGAAGTCTCCTTAGTCACGTAGAATGTTGTTTTGGATTTCTGAGTTCATTTTCGCAGCATCTTTTGACTTTATTGAGACAAACGAGTGGTTTTTGACGTAAAATGGATTGCATTGACAAAACCAACTCTGCAAGTCATCGAAAAAAGAAATTGTACATTTTTAGGATAATGTTCCATCTTTAAGGTGCGGCGTTCATAATTCCTATTATTCAATTGTTTGATTTGGTTTGAATCGATTTCTAACCATTTTTCCGCTTCTTGCTGAATCTTCGGAAAATATCACCATATTTCGGATATTTTCCATCAAACCTGGTCTAAAAATGGCAGAATTTGATTATTATTTTCTTTCAACACCAAATCATTTGTTATTGTAATTGCGTGCCATATCGGTTCCGGTCTTCTTTCGACTCCACTTCATCCTGATCGAAGTAGGCAAAAAGCATATTATTTCAGGAAATAATCGAATTGATTTCAGTAACAAATGCAAACATATTTATGAAATGTCCGAGGGGCGTGCAACAGTGTGAGAGTGCTGAAGAGAGAAGCAAGTATTCGCACATGTCTTAACGTAGTTTTCATCATTATTACATGTCACACGCTTTGAAATCAGTTTAATTATCGATGAACACCGCACTAATACTTCAATCCGTTCGATTGCGAGTAAAACACATACACGCACACGCCGCTTCGTCAACGTCAA